TTTAAAGTTCAAATAAAGTTTATGCACTGCTCGGTTACAATAATTTGATATCATGATGACAGCTAAGACCATTTCCTTTCCAGTTTTAAATTCTTTGTCTCACAAAAACTTGCGAAGATTAAATTAAGTCAACTTTTAGATTTGGTGCTATATGCATATTAATATATGTATGCATGAGTTATTTAATTGTATTCCTCAAAATGCTAGCACAAAGTCATTTCCTAATTCCAGCTCAACTATCCTGAAATTTTCACTTCTCAGACAAATAATAGTATGAGGAGGTTTTGCTGTTAAGAAAAAAAACATTAGTATATTTTCCTTGCTTGGTTTACCTTATGAAAGTATGAGGAGAAATTTGAAAGGAAAATATAATTATTCACCCCTTCAGCATTAACAAAACAATCATCAGACTAGCATGAAATGCCCTTTATTCCTGTATATCTAAAAAAACACATTCTCAGATAACACGGTAATTATAGCATTCAAAAACCAGATAATAAGACTTACCAGAGTGCAGAAGCGTCAAAGTAGATAGTTATTCCCTTGAAATAGCCTTTCAAAGTAGTTTTCTTCTATCTGCAAACTCAGAAGTCAAAACAAGTATCATAAGACAACAAGAGGCCTAATTTCCACTGTGCATAATATGGAGAACCAAGATGATAAAATTCAGTCTACATTTTTCCATTTTCATCCTTACTCACAATTAAACCAAAAGACTCAAATGCATTTTTATTTCATCTCAGATAATGATAATTGAAATACTAGTATTTAGAATCTTTTTAAAACTTCATTAAAAAAGAGGTATTTTTAAAATAGAAAGTGAGATAACTAAATTTGGCTGCCTCTATTTAACAAGTGAGAGGACTAATTAGACCAGGTCTATTTAGTAAGTGAGACAACTAAATCAGACTAAAAGGAGTATTAATCAATTGGTCAACAGGTGAATGAGTTAATGATATCTAAGCATTAAAATTTTTATGTCGAACTAAAAGCTTAGAATATTTCCAAGTGGCGACCAACCATCCTCTAAAGGAAAAATGGATTTTTAAGTGGATTAAAATTTTCCAGTAATGCATCATATTATATTTAGGGAATCCGGCCAATTGAGTCTTACGTCCTTTGGAGTTTGGACTTCAATGTTTGGGCGGTGAGTCCCAGAACATGCATCCTACGTACATTTCTTCATCTTTACCATATAAAGTTCCATTTACACAATGTTCCCTAAATCTCAAATCTAATAAGCATCTGAGGAACAAAAAAATGATGATCATCACGAGAACATCTGTCTTTGCTTTCCTACAATTGCTAATGATTGAATCAGCAGTAGGCCAGGCACTGGTGAAGCCTGGTTGTAAAGAGCATTGTGGGAATGTCAGCATTCCATACCCCTTTGGAATCAGAGCAGATTGCTACATGCACAAAGGGTTTGAGGTCTCCTTCAGCGGCACTTCCAACCCCCCTACAAATTTACTAACCAGCATAGAGACTGAGATGCTGTATTTCTCTCTTGATCACAGCATATTTAATGTCAAAATACCAATCATCTCCCAGCAGTGTTCTGTAAGTTTGAATTTTTTGGATTTCTCGGGAAGTCCTTTCATGTCCTACAAAAGGAGAATGTTGTTGCTCCCTGAGGGATGTGCTCCAGCTGTGTTCGACTGGGTGATTACTGATGGGGATGCATCACAATTACCATATAGATATGATCATGCATTTAATTGTTCCCAGTTTAATGGTACTATAGCTAATTCTTCCTTCTTTTATAATACTTTTTCCCTCCCTACCTTATGGATGTCAAGGTAAACCAAGGGTGGCAGGTGTACCAATTGGAATTTTTTTATTATGCCTATGATATTTTTTATTTTTGTTAGGAATGTCTTGCTGATTTTGTTTATTTATTTATTTATTGTCTTAGAAATTGACAAATGCAATGACCCCAGGCACAATTTTAACTGTGGTTTTGACCCAAATTGTGTAAATAAGATAGGGGACTAGGCTTGCAAACCCAAAGGCAAAATAGCCTGGCCTATAATTTTGGGTAAGATCCATATTTTTGGACTTTTATTTATCATTTTTAGAATATAAATCAATTTTAAACTCAAAAACAATTTAAACTCAAACGCATACCCCCGCCGTTCAGTACCTATGTCTTCAACAGAGCTTGTCACTAGCATGTATAGGATAAACAGTTGTCTAGGAATCCCCCACTAGAATGCCACAGTGTCACACCTATCTAAACCAAGGAACTCTATAAACCTGGAATCTCATCAATTGACAATTGACAACTTTAATTTTTTTTTTTTTTTTTTGACAAGGGTAATGGTTAGGAAGTTAGTGAGTTAATTGTTAGCAGTTGGTCCTCAGACCGGGTGAACATTCCACCCCCTCAAATGAGGCGCGCGACCATTAGGTCGCAGTTTGGTGGAGTTCACGACAGTGGTGGAGCTCGAAGCTCCGACCACCATCTCACCCAAGCACTAAAGCTTGGGGGCAAACCATTGGGCCATAAGGCCCAGTTCAACAACTTTAATTTATTGATAAGCCTCTTGAGTGCAAGAAAACATTATCTGCTCCCTTAGACAAAGTCAAGCCTTTCATCTCAGCCACCATACCAGAATATCTAGTTGGTATCTGCCATCCAGATTGTCTCCACTGAGAACTTTTGTTTCATGCTGCCCACAGTGAACTCAGCTATTTTTTGTAGCCTTTCAGAAATTCTGTCTTCTGGTAGAACAGTCATAACAAAGGGAGGTTTGTTTGTCTATCTACCATCCCCAGCTTCAATACTAAGTTACTAACTCCATCTCTCATCATCTTTTTCACCTAAAGATCTTTCTTAAAGACCATGCGCAATTCTGTGGACTTCTATTGATTTCATTCCATTTCATTTTGAAATTTGAATAGTCTAACCACGAAACTAGACTTTTATATAAATCAAGTGTTGATATACATCCGTTTCTCTTGCTAAAGTCATCTGTTTCTTCTTTCTTGATATCTGCAGGTATTACCCTAGGGTTTGGAGTAGTGTGTTTATCTATTGGTACATGATGGTTGTACTAAATCTTAAAGAAGAGAAAGAAAAAGAAGCTTCAAAAGCAGCTCTTCAAACAAAATGGAGATTAATTATTGAAGCAACAACTATCTTTAACTGAGGGTAACATTGAAAAGACCAAAACATTTAGTACCAAAGAGTTGGAGAGAGCGACTAACAATTTCAACAGGAATAGAATACTTGGTCAAAGAGGCCAGGGCATTGTTTATAAAGGAATGCTGGTTGGTGGAAGAATTGTTGCATTTAAGAAGTCCAAAATACTGCATAAAGAGAAAGTTAAAGAGTTCATCAATGAGGTGGTCATTCTTACACAAATTAATCAGAGAGATATTGTTAAGTTATTAGACTGTTGTTTGGAGACTGAAGTTCCTGTGCTTGTTTACGAATTCATCTCCAACGGGACACTTTTCCATCACATACATGATTACAATGAGGACTTCCCATTAACCTGGGAAAGAAGGTTAACAATTGCAGCAGAAGTTGCAGATGCACTTTCCTACTTGCACTCAGCAGCCTCCATTTCCAATTATTATAG